TCTACTTCTCGTTAGTGTGACTTTGTAAATGGTCCAAGTCGGACCGAAACGTCGTGGTAAGCTCCTCTCTTTTATGTGCGGGTTATTTGTGTATCGTTCCAGTCACGGTATTGTGACTTTTTTGTTATTTATGATTAGTCATGGAGAGTGTCCCCGAACACTTGAGAGGCGCGGTAGGAGTTCAAGACCTCAGGTTCATTGAAGCAGCCAAGTGGTGGGACACCCTTGCAGACTCCTCCAGTAGACCAGCTCCTCCCAAGGAGCACAAACAGTCCGGAAAAAAAGTTGCCAACACAATGCTCTCCAGCGCTTCAGGAAAGGACAAAGCTCGTCTCCTAGCGGTGAAGGCTTCACATTCAGAAGATTTCCTTCTAGCTGTTCCCAGTTCCTCCCTGGGCACTCGACTCGACCCACAGGTAATTCGGATTGGTGTTGTTATTCGCCTAGCCGCCCCCATACTCACCGAACATAGGTGTATTTGCGAAAGGGCGACGGCTGATCAATTCAGACTTCATAGTCTCGTGTGTCGCACATCAGAAGGGAAGTATGCTAGACATTAGGAGGTCAATGACATCATAAAGAGAAGCCTTAACAAAGCCCATTGCCCAGCTCAACGGGAACCCCAAGTACAGAGGTCTGACGGAAGCTCTTTGCATGCCACACCCCCACCCAGAGAGGGCTCAGGATTAGGCTCCCACCTCCAAGTGGTAACCGTGCCGCCATGGCACAAAATAATGGAACCGCAGGTATAGGTTCCTACACCAACACCTTCTCTCCTCGATGGAAGGAGCGGAATTGTGCATTTCTGTCATACCTCTGTTTTATCTCATTTTGAGCTGCCGTTAGGTTAGCCTTGGCTAACTGACGTGCCACCTGCAACCTTGAAGACGGGTTGTAGAGTGTTGAGCTAACGTTTTCTCCCATCCATCCTTCTATGAGCAACCGAAAAAGACCTCGTACATTGTGCCCACAGATCAGCTCAAACGGACTATACCCTGTAGACTCCTGCACAGTTTCTCGTACTGAGAACAGCAACAAAGGTAGTGATTCATCTCAGTCTGCTGGAAAATGCATGCAAAAACTTCTCATCATGGTTTTTAACGTCTGATGGAATCTTTCCAAGGCTCCTTGGGACTGAGGATGATAGGCAGTGGATAAGTTGTGGATTATCTCTAATCTAGTTAATGCTTCCCTAAATGCTTTGGCAGTGAAATTAGTACCTTGATCACTTTGATAGATTCAGGAATGCCAAAACAAGAAATAAATCTGGTTAAAGCTTTGAGAATAACTTTAGTATTAATACTGCGCATGGGAATTGCTTCAGGGTATCTAGTTACTCTATCCATAATGATAAATAAATACTGATTTCCCGACTTTGACCTAGGAAGTGGACCTACACAATCTATAATTAAATCTGCAAAAGGTTCTCCATTAGCAGGTATAGGTTGGAGAGGTGCAGGTTTAATGGAATGTCCAGGTTTCCCTACTTGCTGACATTCTCGGCAACACTGGATATAATTCTTCACATCCTGCTTTAATTTTGGCCAATAAAATTCTTTTGTGGTTCTATATAAAGTTTTAGTAATTCCTAAGTGACCTCCTAATGAAGTATTATGAGCTATATTCAATATTTGAGGTCTAAACTTTGTTGGAACTGCTAACCTGTCTGACAATTGCCGGCCCTCTATCTCCTTACCAGTCTCAGTGCAGATCAAATAGTCGTTTTTAACTTCATACTTGACCGGATGATCCAAAGAGGATTTACCCATGGCTGCCTGAAAAGCGAAATTTAAAGAAGGGTCCTTTCGTTGCTCCTCCCGGAAGGACAGTCCCTCGGGCATGGAAACAGAGATATCTGGCAATCCTGCAACCTTGGAATAGGAAGGCTTGATCGGGGTTTGTTTACTTGATCTACGAGGCCCTGGCCAGTTTTCCCCGTAAAACAAAGTGGCTATTCCGAGATCAGAGTCGTCTAAGGATAGGTCAACATTCTCGCCAGACAACCCTTGGGATGTTGCCCGAGTTATGGCCAACACCGGAGAAGAATTAATCATTATGGGTTCAGGACATACACTAGCAGTGGTAATGTTATTACCCAGTAATAACATGGCATCTTTCATGGGGAATCCTTTTGAGACACCCACAGTCAAGTACCCAGTGTAATATTTGCACTGTACATAAATTTTATGCAAAGGGACAGAATATTTAGCTCCTCCAAATGCTTCCAGGAAAACAGAGGAGTTTAAGGAGGTGTTCTTTGAAAGGGGTAATATTCCCTCTCTTATAAGTGAGCAATATGCTCCAGTATCTCTAAAGGTTTTGACTTCAGTTGTTTTGGAGTTTTCCTGAAGGGAAATAAGACTCTCACAGTAATAAGGGGCCATCCCTTTCTCTACTTCTTTCAGGGACATGTTACTAGGGATATTAGAGATTTTCCCAATTGGTTGGGGTTTGTGGGGGCAGTTGGGATGGATGTGACCTACTTTATTGCACAGGAAGCAGACGACAGGTTTGCCCTTAACTCCCTGCTGACATTGCAACTGGTATCGCTCTGGCTGGTGTCTCTCTGGATACTGTTGTCGAGTTGCACCATGTTGAGTAGTTTGTCTCTCACCAGGTAGACCATAAGTTGAGAAGTGTGGCTCACCAGGTGACTTAGTTGGCTGACGTAGACGTTCTCCCTCCGACTGGGACTTCATCCTCCAAGGTTGACGATCTCTGCTCTTGCCAGGCTGTTGAAAAGAGAGATGGGACCGCTCGGAGGAGGTTAGTTTCAAAGGTATCAGCCAACCTGGCTGCCTCCAATGCAGTGGTTAAGTCACGATCCTGCAGAAAGACTCGAACCTCTGGTCCCACAGACTCCAGCAGGTTGTCAGTCAGAATAAGCTGCATAAGATCATCGAAGGTAGCAACACCACTTGCTTTATACCAGCTGGTAAAAGCTTTGGTCTGCTGTCGCACAAAATCAACCAGGGATTGACCAAGCTGTCGTCTGCCTAACTTGAAAATTTATCCTATATTTAGCTGGGATACAAGTATATGCTCTCAAAACTGTGATCTTCGCCACTTTACAATCGGAAAATTCAGTGTCATTTAACACTGACGTAAATTTCTGTGCCTTACCAAACAACGTTGTGTGAACTAACGACGCCCAATGCTGTTCCGGCCACCTCAAGGCTCGAGCCTGATTTTCGAAAGCTTCGAGAAATTGTTCTGGTTCGGCCTCATTGAAGCGGGGAACAAGCTGTACTGCTTTCTGTAAACTAAAGTCATTTACAAGATGCGAAAACTGCCTTCTTTCTTTTTTCCTATCAAACTCTTCCTTGGCAAATGCCCTCTGTTCCCTAGTCTGCTCAAGATTTATTTTTGCCAGCTCAAGTGCCAACGCCGCTGATTCACCTTGAGACAACCCTGCTACACTAGACTGACGATTTTGCTCCATTGATGTATCATCTTCCTCCTGCGAGAACATCGGAGTTTTATTCCTGGCTCCCGTAGAGGGAGGAGTCTGATGTGCCATCTCCTCTTCCCGAAGTTTGTCAGTGATCAGTGAACGCAGTTGCGCAGCTGTGAGGGTGCGTTCGTAATCAATGCCAATGGAACGGGCAATTTGCCAACAACGATGTAGGAACAATTTAGGCAAATTAAATAAGGTATATGCCGACACCAGACGTCTGACTCGTCTAGGTGGCATACCCCAATGTACAAGTTATTTGCTATGCACAGTACGGTTGCAGAATATGCATACGCTTACAAGGTAGATAAGCAATAGCAAAGCTGACTGCAAAATCTTCACACCGAACAAACTAGTATCGAGCTATTGAACGATCATACAATAGCAAGGCTGACCATAGCAAAGCAATTGACACGCAAAGTTTGTAAAGCGTTGGCAAAGCTAATGCAATGCCAGACAGCAAGCTACACAATGTTCCCGCTTCCAGCTTCACCCTAGGCTCAACCCGTTCTCTAAGTCCAGCTCCAGCTCTCGGACAGGCTACCAATATTACAACCCAGGAGTCCCAAAGGCCTGTTATCCTGGGTGTAAAGGGAGCAAAATAAACACAGCAGAAAACTTTTGACTTATATTATCCTTCACCAATTTAGAACAGAAGTGTGTACGCTATTTACACTATGTACAACAATAGGTATTAGTGCACTCCACAGAAAGCAAGGCAGAATAGAAGCCACTAGAGAGCAGACCGTGCTTCAACCAGCTCTAGAATGGCAATGACAAGGGCAGACAGGAGAGTGGTACCCACATAACCTCTGCGATTGCCAAAACCATCTTCTTATTGGCTGGAACCTGGTCACTAGTTGAACGACGGGGCCCCATCATCAACTCTCAGCAACCTGGTTCGCTGGTTGGGGGAGATAACCTGTAAATGAGGGTGTGTACATGCGCCGAATAAAGGTTACGTACTCTTTGCATGCCACAATAAACATTGTCCAAATAAATTTTCTTATTATTTCATGCTGCGTCTTTAGGTAACAACTACTGGTATAAAAATATTATTTGTTGTTATATACATCAGTACCAGTAGTGAAAACAACAGGTGCAGCAGCAACAATAACAGAAGCAGGTTATCAGTCTCCACTATTCACTGCTTCAAGACGTGTGTGTCTTGAAGTTACAGTTTTCTCATCAACATGTGTATGTTTCGATGTCAGTGTTAATGTGTTAGCTATTGTTGTTCTTCTGTCTTCACCGCCCAACTTTAAGCAATAATTTGATCCATAGATTACGAAATTTGGCCGCAACAATTTTTCCTGTACTCAACGTCAGTCCTTCTGAGTACACACTGTGGAGTCACGCAGACAGTTGGATATCTTTATTGTTTAAGCGTGTCGCCTACATAGTAGACTTCTTCAGTCAACTACAGAGGCAACAGCTGTAGTAGTGAAATGAGGATGTAATAGGTCCATCAACCTTGATAAAATAGTATTTGAGGTGGTCAGTCTCTCAAGCTGGAGAAGAGTTCATTTTCATGGTCTGGAATAATATGAAGCTGAAACATGAGAATGGGTCTTACATACTGTCGAAGGTGAGATGCAAGATCTTGAACATGTTGCAGGGGACAGAGTTCACTAGTAGAAGCAAGAAGGCAAGAATTGTTGAGCACTTCAGCAAGCCTACTGGCCCATGCTAGGCACATCCCTCTGGAATCCAACCCTTCTCACTTACAGCTAGTGGTTATGTGACGGAGTGTGGAAGATATTCTCTGTACCAAGATGCCTTGCGTTGCTGTGTTTGACAGTGATGTCAGACACATGTCTAGTAGTTAGGGAGGCGACACGTTTCAGCAATAAAGACACCCAGATGTTGCACATGTGTCTTGCTCGTCAACTTGTCAGTATTTTATACCATTTGCAACAATACTGGTTAACATTATTAAACATAAACTAAATTTTCCCATTATTTTCGTAGCGTCCATTGGTCTCAGTACCGGGACAATGGTCTCAGTACCTGGACATTGGTCTCAGTACTTGGACATTGGTCTCAGTACCTGGACATTGGTCTCAGTACTTGGACATTGGTCTCAGTGCTTGGACATTGGTCTCAGTACTTAGGCATTGGTCTCAGTGCTTGGACATTGGTCTCAGTACTTGGACATTAGTCTCAGTGCTTGGACATTGGTCTCAGTACAGGGACATTGGTCTCAGTACTTGGACATTGGTCTCAGTACTTAGACATTGGTCTCAGTGCTTGGACATTGGTCTCAGTACCTGGACATTGGTCTCAGTACTTGGACATTGGTCTCAGTACTTAGGCATTGGTCTCAGTGCTTGGACATTGGTCTCAGTACCTGGACATTGGTCTCAGTACTTGGACATTGGTCTCAGCACTTGGACATTGGTCTCAGTGCTTGGACTTTGGTCTCAGTACTTGGATATTGGTCTCAGTACTTGGACATTGGTCTCAGTACCTGGACATTGGTCTCAGAACCTGGACATTGGTCTCAGTACTTCGACATTTGTCTCAGTACTTGGACATTGGTCTCAGTACTTGGACATTGGTCTCAGTACCTGGACATTGGTCTCAGTACTTGGACATTGGTCTCAGTACTTTGACATTGGTCTCAGTACTTTGACATTGGTCTCAGTACTTTGACATTGGTCTCAGTACCTGGACAATGGTCTCAATACCTGGACATTGGTCTCAGTACCTGAACATTGGTCTCAGTACTTGGACATAGATCTCAGTACCTGGACATTGGTCTCAGTACTTGGGCATTGGTCTCAGTACCTGGACATTGGTCTCAGTACCTGGAATTGGTCTCAGTACTTGGACATTGGTCTCAGTACTTGGACATTGGTCTCAGTACCTGGACATTGGGCTCAGTACCTGGACATTGGTGTCAGTACCTGGACATTGGTCTCGGTACTTGGATATTGGTCTCAGTACCTAGACATTGGTCTCAGTACCTGGACATTTTAAGATACATGACTGACCTAAGTGTTTCGTGGTATAATCAGTACAGTAACGTGGCTTCGAAAAGATAAAGTCAAGGGTGGCAGAAGTGGCTGACAACCAGTCCTACAAGACTAGATCATCCAAACTCAGTTGCATCATTCAGTCCACCATCACCCAACATCACAGAGACAATTTTCTCTCACTTGTGTCTGTGGCAATGCTTACATCATTCCCTAACTATTAACCTGCCCACAATTACACAGCAACCTGCCATTCCCACTAATGTATTACTCTCAACAAACGTACATTCTATTTCTCTCCAGGATCTCCTTTTGCGTGTGGTGCTTCCTGCCTGACAAAAAAATCTTTCTTATGCACACGACTTTCTCCCTGGTACCCTTGCAAGAAGCGGCATCTCTGCCCCTTCTATCTATACACTAAGTTGGTTCAACATTAGCTGTATGCTTACGCAATGAACGTGACGAACCTGGCCCATGGTCGGGCTCTGGAATTTAAAAAAAAAAATTTCCTATGTCTTCAATGATATATCAGAGATATTTGAAGTCTCCTGGAAACACGTTACTTTGTTGGTGTTAATTAAACTGTTGTTAACCTAGACACTAACTTGAAGGATAATTAATTTCTAAAATAAGGAGTTTATTAAATTATTAATGAACAGTCTCTGATACACACTATTTATCTGATATACACTGAGAAATATACACTGCTCAGGTTATATACACTGAGAGATACACACTGCTCAGTGTATATGCAGTGAAAGACAAACATTATTTCGTATATATACTGTGAGAAATACATACCACTCTGTGTAAATACTCTGATATATACTCAATATACGGTGCATATAACCCCCCCCCCCAAAAAAAAAAAAAAAAAAAAAAAAAATTCTCTTCCGAGAGAACATTCTCTACCACACATTACTATGACATATTTCTTATGGAAAATTCACTATCAGACAATAATACCCAACTTGACTCTCCTGTAGCCTGGTAGTCATACTATCAAATAGTTTGTTAGTTGCACTGTCATGTGATATGATAGTTACACAATACATGAGCCTCTGGTGGCCTGGTGGTTAACGCTCTCGCTTCACACGGTGAGGACCTGGGTTCGATTCCCAGCCAGAGTAGAAACATTGGACGTGTTTCTTTCCACCTGTTGTCTATGTTCCCCATCAGTAAAATGGGTACCTGGGTGTTAGTCGACTGGTGTGGGTCGCATCCTGGGACACTGACCTAAGGAGGCCTGGTCACAGACCGGGCCGCGGGGGCGTTGACCCCCGGAACTCTCTCCAGATAAACTCCAGATATCAATGTTATTGGGGCCCAGAGAGAAAGTGGTGAAAGTTTCTGAGATGTTAGTGTAATTTATGGGTTATTAATTGACTCTTGCAGAGTCACTGCTCAGCAGTGAAAATTGATTGCATCACTATTACGGTGTAGTGTATTAAAAATTTTATATAAAAAATAATAATCCATAGTTACGGGATTGTACTGAAACCAGACGCGTATTATTCCTGGTCAGGAATAATACACGTACCAACACCCGTGCTGGGGACTACCTAGATGGGAATTTCCCAAATTCCTTCTATCTTGCACCAACTGAGCCCACGGAAGTCACCGCGATCATAAAGTCACTTAAAAATAGCTCAGGCAATCTGTCTCACGTCCCACCATTATTGTACAAGCGAGCGGCCCATGTCCTCTCGCATGCTATCTCATTACTTTTTAACAAGTCACTAGAAACTAGCACCTTCTCGATACTACTCAAGACAGCAAGGGTTACACCAATACATAAAGGTGGTGACCCTACAGATGTAAACAACTATAGGCCAATATCAAACTTACCATTGCTATCCAAAATCTTCGAGAAACTCGTGCACAGGAGACTATATTCATTTATAACTGCACAAAACATACTCAACCCCTGCCAATTTGGATTCAGGAAAAATAAAAGCACTAATGATGCAATTATAAGAATGCTAGACCTGCTTTACACACCATTGGAAAAGAACGAATATCCGCTAGGAATTTTTATTGACCTAAGAAAAGCTTTTGACAGTAGACCACGGCATCCTACTCCACGAACTTGACCATTATGGTATAAGAGGCCATGCGCTTGCATATTTTAAATCCTACCTTACAAATAGGTATCAGTATGTCACCATTAAAGACACAGCATCATCAACACGGCAACTTGATACTGGAGTTCTGCAGGGAAGTGTCCTTGGCCCCCTGCTCTTCCTCATTTACATCAATGATCTTACCATACCCCCGGCCGGGATTGAACCCGCGGTCATAGAGTCTCAAAACTCCAGCCCGTCGCGTTAGCCACTAGACCAGCTAGCCACAATAAGATTCATCCAACTAGGTATATTTCTACACCATAGGAAGGTTAGCACAGGCACCTCTGTGACCACAAATGCAAGTTTTTACAGACGAATCTTCCAAACGTATCCCAACACCTGAAACCCATTCTCTTTGCTGACGACACGACTTATGTCATCTCCCACCCTAATCTTGCCACCCTCAGCACCATTGTTAACAAGGAGCTGTTCAAAATATCGACTTGGATGACAGCCAATAAACTTAAACTTAACACTGACAAAACCTACTATATTATGTTTGGTAGCAGAGCAGGTGTTGCACAACTTAACATTAAGATCGACAACACTCTAATTGCCAGACATAATGAGGGCAGATTCCTAGGCCTATGCATCGACAACAACCTAAATTTCAGTACCCATATCCAACACATAACAAAAAAAGTATCCAAAACGGTTGGAATCCTCTCCGAGATACGATACTACGTGCCGCAAACTGCCCTTCTCACACTATACCATTCACTCATTTACCCATACCTCACCTATGCTATTTGTGCTTGGGGATCAGCTGCAGCAACACATCTAAAGCCAATAATAACCCAACAAAAAGCCGCAGTAAGAATAATCACTAAATCCCATCCCTGGCAACACACCCCCCGCTATTCATAAATGTAAACTTACTCCCCGTTAAGAGCATCCACACTTACTACTGTGCAATCTACATCTACAGGACCTTAAATTCCAATAATAACCTTGACCGAAAACGCTTTCTTAATAGTTGTGACAGAACCAACAGGCATAATACCAGACACAAACATCACTACGACATTCCCCGTGTCCGCCTAAACCTTTACAAAAATTCTATGTATGTCAAAGGGCCTAAAATATGGAACAGCCTACCTGAAAGCTCTAGAACTGCAGACACATTCATCGCCTTCAAAACTACCGTTAGACAACATCTTATCTCCCTGATACACCCCGACAACTAACTACAAGAAAACCACGGAACAAAATCGTAAGATTCATCCTGGGGCTGGGACCAAGAGAACATGTAGGCCAGGATGAATTACAGCCGTTGGATATGCTGAATGTTGAAGACAGAGTAAAACAACTGAAGCTAAATCATGTTTATAAAATTGCTCAAAAACAATGTCCAGAATATCTTGCTGTCAATTTTGTCAAGGTTGGGAACCAAAGCAATCATAGTACTAGGGGGAGAGAGCACAACTTTGTAGTACCCACAGTCAGTGGCCAGGCTTCAAACACCTTTTATTGTACAGCAATAAAGGAATGGAACAGACTGCCTGCACATGTCAAAGCCAGTCATAGCATGAACCAGTTCAAGAAGACTGCCAAAAAGTGTCTGATGAATGTAGCTACAGAAAGGGAGGGGAATGATTTTCTATTTTTTAGCTAACATACGTGTAAATTTTACCGTATCCCTAGTAATGACCCTCGTATTGTAGATAGTCTTATTGACCTTCGTGTAGTAGATAGTCTTAATGACCCTCGTGTAGTAGATAGTTTTAATGACCCTCGTATTGTAGATAGTCTTAATGACCCTCGTGTAGTAGATAGTCTCTTTAGTATGATAATAAGATGTTATCTTCATTGTAGAATAATAAGAAAATATTATAACCTTTATATTATAATAATAAGGTAAAAGGACCCCAATGGAAATAAGTCACTCTGTCTGACTTTTTTGGGTTATCCTAGGTTCTCTACACATATGCTGCTATGTATGATAATTCTATGTAACTGTATTTGTGTATACCTGAATAAACTTACTTACTTACTTACTTACCTGTTCGCACTTACACTCAGTCACCCATTTGACTATAGTCACAGAAATACGAATCTTAATCATAAAATAATGAATCCTAACTAGTCATAAGTTTGCCTGTGATACTACAAGATAGAACCTGTGTATTGTGCCAAAACAAAAGCATTTACATTGCTAAACCCACAAACTATAATGTAGTCACTTAGCCTTAATACCAGCTTACTCCATAATCTGCATTAATTTAGAGTTAAGAATTAATCTAAGTCTGCCCGAAATGCCTAGCCATGCCAGGTGCCCTAGTGGCCCCCTCTGTAATTAGTATTTTATAACATGTAAACCACACAATATCCAAAATTTGTAAACCCCACATTGTAATCTTTATAGAGAATAAACTTAATTCATTGACTGATTGATTAGCTTTAATTATTAACGTTATTGGTGCACAGTAAACAGCCAGTGCCCCCTTATTTCTTGCATAATTGACCAAGCTGTTGGTGCCGACCACACGCATTCCAACGTATGCACCACAGCCCGGCTGTTCAGGAACTGACTAGAGGAATATATCAAATTTCCTCTTGTAGACAGCCAGAGGTTGTTGGTAGTGTCCCTCATGAGTGAAGGAAGAACGATGAAAATCCAAGATATTCTTACAATTATTTAATGTTATATAACTGTATTTAAGAGTTTTCTTTTTTAATGGTGGTATTAGGGACCGTCTGCCAAGTTTCTTATTTTGAAATGGAATGATTTACAAGTGCAGGTTTATAACCAGTGTAGGTTTATAACCAGTGCAGGTTTATAACCAGTGCAGGTTTATAACCAGTGTAGGTTTATAACCAG